CTAGATCTACGACAAATTATTTTAGAGTTAATTGGTTCACAGCTATAAGGAAGTTTTTTTTTTTTTTTAAATGATATTCTTTGTTTTTGGTGATTAGAAGGGGAAGATATTTCCAACTACTCGGTCCGATGTCATTGCTAGCAGTAGTGGAAGCCATTCCTTTATTCATCATCTAAGTCCATATATCTCTGGTCCTCTATATGGTCAAAATCTTTCCCTGGGTCCAGGTACCTTAACAAGCGAAGGCGACGCTCTATGATAACATTATTAATTCAGGTGATATTTGGCCGAAGATGGATACAATGGTTATGCGACTTTATCCGCTCGACGGATCCGCAAAATTTATCCTAAAAATAGATAATCAAGGAGTAGTACCTTCCACTCTCATTGGAGTACAGGTTGATAGCACAGGTGAGTAACCAGCATCATCCAGATTTCTAGAAAGGGAAATAGAACCTCAGCATCGGCGCTCCAAATTGAGCAACGACTCACTCACTGGGCATTCTTTTGATATTCTTTGTTGTCAAACTATGCATCAGAAAATCCCATAAATCCCATAAATTCTAAATCGAAAAATATTTAAGTGGTATTCAAATGTACTTCCTTTTTGATATGAAAAAAATTCATAATTAATAACAAATTTTATCAGTAACTTATTTGCTAAAAACTTTTCTTATCAGAATATTGTTTTCAATTTGCTTTTTTTCTTACGTGTCTATAATTCTTTGAAGAAATTAGTCCTTGAAATTCTTTCTTTAAAAAAAATTAGCTAAAAAGATTGGATTTATCAAATTCTCGTTATCTTAGTTGATGCACTGATGCTTTTTTTGATTCATTTGATGAAATATTTCTTTCGAGTAAAAATGAGAAAGTTCCATAAATATGACGCAGCAGCCTTATAAGTCGACTAATCTTACCTATTTTTTTATAATGGAGTAATTTTTTATTTTTTATGGAAATAATTTTAATTTAGCAAAAAAAAAAATCGTTGAGGTTCAAAGTATTTTACTTCTTCGCTCTATGCTCATGATAATCACTCGTTTAACAGCTTTATAAAAGAGAAATTTTTATTTCAATGAGGAAAATTCTCATTTGAATCGAACAGCTTGGAAACGCCATATTCTTACGGTCAGCACAGCCAGGCTAATTATCGATAGCCAGCGCTTTTAGAAAAAGAACAATAGGAGAATTTTAGGTCGCTAACGATTCACCAGTTTTTTTCTCCATAATTTTGTGGAGGTCCGCCTTCATCATATCATTACTCTTGAATATCATTACTCTTGGAAATTTGATGAAATTATTCTTTTGCGAATACATTTTATTTTAGACGAATTATCATCTCCAAAAACTATTTCACTCATCGCATTCATTATAATTTTATTGTTATTTTTTATTTTTTTTTTATAAATTGGCTAAATAAAATGAAATAAAAATTTAAGAGTTATGATTTTTCGTCATAATCGTTAGAATTTATTATTTTTTTGTCGATAAAAAATATTTAAAAAATTTTGGAAAAAAAATGCAAATAAAAAATTTTTTTTTCAATTTTTTTCTAATTTCATTATTTTGATCATATTTTTGCAAGAGAATTGTTACAAAAATTAGTTTGAATTAGCAAATAAAAAATTTTAGGATGAAAATTTTTTAGAAATAAATTTTGAATAAAAAAAAATATAAATTTTTGGCATTCAAACTGAATCTGAAATATAAGATCGCCTATAAGCGATTTATCTAAGCAGAAAAATGGTACATATTTTAACATTAAAATATTTTTAGTAAAAAAAAGAAATTATAGAAATCAAATGTTTACATAAATTCGTTAAATAATATTTATATTCAATAATTAATATTCAATTAATAATCAATATTCAATTAATATTCAATAATCAATTAATATTAATATTCAAATATTTTTAAGAATAATTGACTGAAATTGGTGAAAATTTGTGAATTAAAAACTTTGCTTTTTTTTATTATTAAATTTGTGGAATAAAAATTTTGCTTTTTTTTATTATTAAATTTGCTAATTTTAAATTTTTTTTTGCAACTCTTTTTTAAAAATTTTTTACAATTAATTTATAATTAATTTTAATTATTATTATAAATCAGCAGATTATTTGCAAGAAACTTTTCAAAATATCATTCAAACTTCGCAAATTTTTATTTTATTTTATTTACTATATACTGTATAATTTCAAAATAATTGTAATTATATCGAATTCGAATCGCAATAACTAATGTCGAAGCTCGTCGAAGTGCTAAATAAATACAGAAATAATCGTAAAGTATTGCTATTTATCGTTTATATAGCTTTATTCCTTGACAATATGCTTCTTACAACAGTGGGTGAGTTTTTTTAATAATTTTTTTTTCATTTTATAGCATTTATATTATTTCATTATAAATTCCATTTTTAGAATAAAATTTGTACAAAATTCAAATTTAAATTTATTTAAGATCATTTAAATAACTTTTATACAAGTTAGCTATGAATTCAATACGAATATGCGTATTTAATTTCTTTGAAGCAACCAAGCACGGTGACAAGCGAGGTGACAAGCGTCATATACTTTTGTATTAATAACAACAAAATAAGGTCAACGAGAAGAAATAATACAAAAGGGCTGAAAAGGCAGTATAAAGGGAAATAATAAAGGGGAATTGCAGAATAACTCAAGTCGAATTGAATTTACTACTGACAGATTCGGCACTACCACTACGCATTCTCGAATGAATAATATCATGATTTTAAACTACCTATGAACTTTTAAAATAATATCACTGATGGATTATCAGTTAACCTATTTTTAAAAATAGTTAAGGATAATGCAACAAACTACGTCATTCGGTAGTTTAATCCAATAATTAATGGTGCTTAATCAATGAAATGAGAATGAAATGGTTAAATAAGAAGGCATTTGCATATAATTGAGACGGTAAATTGCTGGCTTTGCGACTAAAATACTAGGCTGTGGAAACGGATCAATGAGTTGATAAGTTGATAAGTATCAATGAGTTGATAAGTATGAGGTAGAAAAGGAGTGATAAAAAAGAATTAGCGAGTAGAGCCACAAGAGTGGATGCGCGATCATTTTAGTTTTGTATTAAGGTTTTAATAATTTTAAATATTATTAATGGAAGATTATTTATATGCAAAACATGAATAATATGCTTTACATGCAAAATATCATGCAGTGAATACACAGTGAATATAAGTGATTATACTTGGAGGAATCTTTAAATCGATGCACCTTAATTGGGTAGCAAATCACTCGAAACTTTGATCAAAATAACTTCCATCTAAGGCTTAATTTTTTATACACCACTGAAACAGCAAATGAGTACCAAATGATCAATGAGATATATACAAATAGGGAGTGAGTCAGGGAGTTGGCGACAGAAGAACAACTGAGTCGCTAATATAATTAATAAAACAGTAACCCACTAAGCCATTTTACTCTCCTTTGTTTGTTCTCTGCTTTGCCGCAAAGAGTGGTGTATCGGCGGATTCGAACGCAAGCACCCTCGATTTTTGGTGGCAATTGTCTCACCATTGATCATATCGAAAATCTGAAGACTGGAATGCTCTTCAAGGCTGTTTTGGACACTTCCAAAAGAGAAATATTTTTTCAGCAAAATGATATGGTGGCAAAGAGCAAATAATAAACAGAAGGGTCAACGGAAGGGTTAGAAAGAGAATAGAAAGGAAAAGCAGAACTCGGTAGCAAAGTTTTTTTGATTTTTGGTGCCCATTTTTTCAAGGCCTTGCTTTGTCATGTTTGAGAATAATATCTTTTCTATTACTTCTAGGTAATTCCGATGAAATTCGTTCTGAAGACTGCACAAACGATGTTTTTCTGTCATGAATGTAGAGATTTAACGATTGTTACTGACGTTTCGTCCGCTGATAATTATTAATGTTTAATGCACGTATTGTTACCATAGGGTACCTATTTTGCAAATCCACTAAGAATTCTGCCCAAAAGAATTCTTTTTTGGGGAAGACACAGGACGAAAGTAGCCTCATCTTATCTGAGGAGCACATACAAAATGACCGATTTTGGGGTGCATATTCTTCGACAGATAGATGCATAAGCCTTATTTAATTTCCCATTGACTTGAAAATGCCGCAATATAATATCAATTTGGAGCGCTGATGCTGAGATTCGATTCCCCGCAGGGATAAACTTGTCCAAAAATCTGGGTGATGCTGGAGTCTCACTTGTACTTCTATCGCCAAGAGACTCTCTGGCATATTGCCCAATGCGACAAGCCAGTGGAGCGAGTTTAACCAGTGAGGACCCTTAAAAGAAAAATATAATATCATAAATACCTTTTTTGCTTAGCGATATCACCAAAGGTTTTTTTTCGGACCAGCTTCGACTGTAGAAAATTTGGAAGATATATCAAATCCTTGAATGTTCCTTAAATTAAAATCGTGAATCCACTGTTTTTAAACTTCATTTATGCTCATTGCTAGTCTCGTTGTACTATTTGTCCAATAAAAATTCGTAAAGCATTCGTAAACCAAATATTCCTCAGATGATGTTTCATGTTCCATCACTGGAGCACTGAAAAAAAAAGTTTCATCAAACACATGGAACACATGGAATGATATATTACTACATAAACATAAGAAATGCTTACTCTTCTTATAGAAAACCATTTCACCAAAAATTCACCTTAGGCAATATTTTTAAGAAAAATTAATTATGTATATGTTTTATTCTTTATGTATAAAATCATTTCGAATATTATCAATATTTTATACTATTGGAATAAAACTTCCATCAAAAATTTGCAACGAAAAGCTACGGATCCATCTGCACTTCTATGGGACTATTTGGTGAAATTTTGTTTCATCCTTTAACGGTGGGTTTCCAAAAGCTTTTAGAATATAATGAAATGAATAAAAACTTTTTCAATTTTAGTTCCAATAATTCCGGAACATCTCTTACGTTTATCTCATCCGAACGTGAGCGATTTTCTATTCCATAAAGATGTGGGATCTGAGGAAAAAAGATATAAACGCGAGGATTACGATTCTTTCATGGGATGATAATTCTTGGGAAATACCGTTTGATGATCAGAACACAGATATTGACTGGTCTAATAGTCCATTAAATCCAATCAAACAATTAACTACGAAGAAAATTTTGCGGCAAAAAGGTAAAATTATTTTTCTTAGTTTTATTAATTCTTATTTTCATTTTCGCATTCAATATAAATTGAATTAAATATACGCAAATTTTTAAAGTAATTTTAGCTTTTTAAAATATAAAGTAATTTTAGAATATAAATTTTAGAATGTTAAATTTTAGAATTGAAATTTTAGAAAGTAATTTTAGAATAGAAATTTTAGAATTTTAAAATATAAATTTTTAAAGTAATTTTAGCTTTTTAAAATATAAAATATATTTATTGATATTTTTACAAAAATAAAATTCACATACAGCCATAATTTTAATATTATCATATATTATTGATAACAATATTATCATATAATATCGATAGTATCACAAAGATCGTTAGCGCGGATCACGTTAAATCATACTTTTCATCAATTAAAAATTTATATATATTTATATTACAAAAATCAAAATCTAGGTTTTGATGCAATTAGGAGAGATTTTAAAATGCGATATAATGATATGGTCGAAAAAAAAAGGGATGATAGAATTGCCTTTAAACCCCTTTTTTCGACTGAAAAAATAAATGAAGATCCTCCTTTTGAACTAAATTATGCTTTTTCCTTCATGCATGGTCGTAAATCTTTTTTTTTTGGTTTTTCAAGGTTATTAAGCAATTTCATAAAGCAAATCCATGATTCTTTTATTTTATGAATTTATACAATAATAAAACAATACGCATATATTTTTTGATTCATATCTATTCAATATGGAAATTTAAAAAATAAGAAAAAAATTGAATAGAATTAATAGAAATGAAGTTATAAAAGAGTATTCCTATGAATAGACAAAACCCTGTCCCATTTCAAACTCTTGTCGTATCCGTTCGTAATCAGCGAAAGCTCACTTAATATTCCATTCTGCCTTCCATCATCTTCTCTCAACGTCCATATCACTTCGAAATTTCCCATTATACTCCCTCAAATGTCACCATTTTGGTGCCATATTTGCAGTTTTTTTCAGCTTTCACAAAAGTGGAATACGAACATAATAGAATCTTAAGCGATAATAATAAAAAGTTGAGCAACTGCAAGTGTGTATGACGAGGTTAAAAAGGTTTTACCTACTGGTAAATTAAGGCAAATTAGCATAATAAAAAAGGATTTGAGGAATTTTTTTACAAAAGTATCAATTTTTTGCTGGGAATTATAAAATAATTCAACGATTCATGAATATCTATTTAAAATCGCAAATATTTTATATATTTTCTTTTGGTGACAAACACATACACATACACACATACACACACACACACACACTCATGCATATATCATTCTATCAAAGTATCGAAAAATGAGTATCATTTATATTTATAATTAAACAAATTTTAAGATGGGTAAACAAAGACAACGACTAAATGAAATATTATATGATCGTAATAATGAAAAAAAAAAAACGAAAAAAAAAGGTGAACATAAGAGGAAATTTATTTTGATTATTTCGAATTTTCTTATTAAATGGAATTAATCCATGAGGACAAAGAAAAGAAAACTACGATTCGTCGTTGATAGAGGAAAATCTCAATCTTCAATAATGAAGGAGGAAAAAAAAAAAGGAAAAAAGCGTTATTTAATTATATTC